TTGCAAGATTCCCAAAAGTTGCTTGCATCCATCTACCATTTCTCAGGTACCATTATGTTCCTTCTCAGGTCTTTGATGTGATTAAAAACTAGATAGTTGTAATTTCCTCAGTTATGATAAAAGATAAGTTAGATATAAAACCTTAAACTCACAAATATAAGATAGACAGGACATCTTCCTTAATATTGTAACTGTAATTCTTGCTAGATAATTGTTTTGTTATATATACTTTTACCATGTTAAAGATAAAATCTTCCTTTTAAAAAAAGAAGAAAAGGGGAAGTGCTGTGCTTATCACTCTATATAAATAAAACACTGATGGCCAGTGACCAGACAGGAAGTATAGGCAGGACAAGGAGAGAGGAGAATTGGGAAAACAGGAAGAAGGAGGGAGAGACACTGCAGCCACCACCAGGACAAGCAACATGTAAAGACGCCGGTAAGCCACCAGCCACGTGGCAAGGTATAGATTTATAGAAATGGGTTAATTTAAGATATAAGAACAGTTAAAAAGAAGCCTGCCACAGCCATACAGTTTATAAGTGATATAAGCGTCTGAGTGATTATTTTATAGGTGGATTGTGGGACTGTGGGGCTTGGTGGAACCTGGAGAGCAGCTCTCCAGCAGCACAGAGCCTGTAGCATGAGTCATAGTACTCATGGACTGAGGCACTAGTATGTGAATTCCCAGCATGCATTTGAAGAGAGTCTATCAAGTGCTGGCTAGTGTGAGATAATAGTTGCCATGACTTTGACTTGATTGTTTTGTTACTTGCTTAGAAAGGCCTTGTGTGTTTGATTCTCCAAGCAGCAGTTGGAGAGGCCTAGTCACACATCTAAATGTGTGGCTACAAGTACTGAGACTGATCTCTGCTCATTTTGTTCCTCTCTGAGAGGACACACCTGCATGCATTTGTTCATCATCCAATTGATGGAGTTCTCCCTCTCTCACTCAGTCTCTCTCTGTATCTCTAAGTATCTCTTTCTCTGTGTCTCTGTGTCTCTGTCTCTCACATGTGTATGTGTTGTGTATTTTTCTATGTGTTTGTGCATGTATATCCCACTATTCCCTGCAATCAGGGATCTGTGGTTGGACATGAGGAGTTCCCTATCTCACAGTTCCCAGGTGATACCTTGGTAAAAATTGGGAGTACCACTTTGAGCATTATAGTTCTGCCAGTGTACTTATTTTAGTGACACATAGATATTCCTTTGGGGAGTTTATAAATCTGTCATGATGTTGAGTCCTATCCTCAAAATTGTTCATGATGTTATTTTCATCTCCATTGTCACAGGTATGATCATGGAGAATTCGTTTTTGAATACGGGAGAAACATCTTTACAGATTCTGTGGAGTAGACACTAAGTAAATTCTTAGACAGCTATTTCAGCAAACTTCCTGAGAGATCTCATGCACCTCCAAATCCCATCATCTAAACAGCCTGCCTCTGCTGGCCTAGACTCAGAATAGCTGTAAGTAAATTGTATGCCACTCTTTCGGTTTGGTCCTGGCTTTTGGCAACAACGATGTAGGTAAATGTGTTGCAATAACTCTGGGGAAAGGTATCCTGACTACATGTGAGTCAGGCAACACCTTGAGATGCTTAAGACAGCTCTGATGGCAGGAACTACAAGGAGACAATTTAGCCCTGGAGCGCAAGGTATCCCACACTCTTCGAGCTTCTCAGAAGAGCAGCTTTGCCGTAAAGGTGTTCTGGACACCTGGAGATGTTTAGCACAGCTCTGATGGCTGGAATTGCAAGGGGACAGTTCAGCTCTGCAGGGTGAGGTGTCCTGGACCCCTCAAGTTGCTCACAACAGCTCTGTCCTGATGATGTAAGATAAACAACTGATTGCCGATTATTCTACTATTCACATTTCTACCAGGTACATGAAATTATGGCTTTGAATACACAATAAAGTGTTTAATGTTTCTTATATTCTTATGCATTAAGCATTTTAAAATTAACATTGTTGTCTCACAAAACAGCATACATTGGGAGTAGATTATCTACTCTTGAAATAATCTGGAGGTAGAAACATGAGGACCATGAGTTCAAATGTATTCTTGAATCATTACTGAAATTAATGCCAGGCTTAATATGAACAAAAAAATCTCAAGGAAATTTGTGAAAACATGAAATCAAAACCAAACACCACAACCCACCACCATTTTCACAGACACTGTTACTCAGAAAATGTGATCATACACTGCCTGATATTTAAATAAACAATAGACTGGTAAGATGATAGATTTCCCATTCTATTTATTACAGCAGAAAAAAATACATATCACTAAGTAGAAACACAATGGAAGATGAACAAAAGCCATAGAAGAAATATAGAGACCACAAAAATAATTTTAGCTAAATGAATTTGCCATACATATAGCACACTTTGGTATCCAATGTTTCTCAAATATTTCAAAATAGAAATGAAAATGCACTGGTCTCCCCCATCAGTCTTGACTAAACATAATAACCTATTTATTTCCTTCAAGCCTATGATGAAAAGAAAATGAATAAGATTTTTTTCTTTAACCTGAAAACAACTGTGATATCTAAAATCTGTACCAAGTTGTTTACATGAATAAATTTTTCTCTTGTTTGGGTTTGTCCCTATTTCCTGACTTTAACATGATATAAATAGGCTTTATAATATTTTCACAGCTAGAGACATGGTTGGAGAGTTAAGAAAAGTTTATCCCCAGTAATAAGACCTGATTTTGAAAACTTCTTTTAGTTCACGCTACAAGAAGGTCCGAGAGCCTAACATTTTCAGAAACTAACATGCAAATTCACATAAGCCCAAAAAACATGTACTGATATCACATAATTAAAATTAAAACAACTCTTCAAAAAATTTTTATTGATGAAACTTATTCATTTGTAAGCATGCATTGCTGTAACACAGGTATTGAGACATTTAAAGGTTTACAGAGATGTTTTTCATTGTGAATTGGTTCATATAACAGAAAGCAAGCATGTACACTTGAAGTCAAAGAAATCCTTTTCAGTTGGTGGTATCATTTGTGAAGGTTTAGGAAATGCTGTTCTGCTAAGGAAATATGTCACTAGAGGTAGGATTTGATAATTTACATCCACCTGTCATTTTCAGTTCCCACTCTCTGCTTCATGATGAAAGTAAAGGATGTGAGCTCTCAATTTAGCTGCCATGTCTGACACTTGATGCCATGCCACTTACATGTTGATCCTGGGACCAAATAAAGCCCATTATAAGTTAAGATAGTCACCACATAACAAGAACAGAAAAAGAACTAATACAAGTCTATGAAGTTTTACACCTGAATCAGTTATTTCATGTAATTAAAGAGGAGTTTAAAATCTAAAACTAATACATTATTATTTAAGTTCATAGTTGAAGATTTTATCTTTGGAAGGAAAAGTTCCATGAGTATCAAAAGTTAAGCTACACCTATAGTTGGGAGTGGAAGTTATCCTGCATATACACAATTGAGAAGAGAAATATATCCTGGCTGTTGGGGATTCAGGCAATACCTGAAGCTGTGGAGGAAAAGTTTCCAGGGTACCTGCCAGGATCAAAAAAAGTTGTGAAAGAAAGCTGGAAACCTAAAGCTGTGAGGAGATGGGAATACTGACTGTTAGAAAGTTAGGCTAGCATAAGTGACCCCAAAAACTCCACCAAGGAACTCCTACAGCTGATAAACTCCTTCAGTAAAATGGCAGGATAAAAGATCAACTAAAAAAAATCAGTATACACAAATGATACAATCCTATACACAAATGATAAAAGGGCTGAGAAAGAAGTCAGAGAAACATCACTCTTTACAATAACCACAAATAATAGAAAATACCTTGGGATAACACTAACTAAACAATTGAAGGACCTTTTTGATAAGAACTTTAAATCTCTAACGAAAGAAATTGAAGAAGATAACAGAAAATGGAAGGATCTCTCATGCTCATAGATAGGTAGGATTAACATAATAAAAATGGCAATCTTACTAAAAGCAATCTACAGATTCAATGCAATCCCCATCAAAATCCCAACACAATTCTTCACAGACTTGGAAAGAAAAATACTCAACTTCATATGGAAAAACAAAAGACCCAGGACAGCTAAAAGAATCCTGTACAATAAATCAACATTTGGAGGCATCACCATCCCTGACCTCAAACTCAACTATAGAGCTATAGCAATAAAAACAGCTTGGTACTGGTATAAAAACCGACATGTGGACCAATGGAATCGAATTGAAGACCCTGACATTAATCCATGCACATATGAACACCTGGCTTTTGACAAAGGAGCCAAAACTATAAATGGAAAAAAGAAAGTATCTTCAACAAATGGTGCTCCCATAACTGGATCTCAATATGTAAAAGATTACAAATAGATCCATATCTGTCACCATGCACAAAACTCAAGTCCAAGTGGATCAAAGACCTGACCATAAATCCAGTTACACTAAACTTAATAGAAAAGAAAGTAGGAAACACTCTTGAACACATTGGCACCAGAGAACATTTCCTAAATAAAATACCAACAGCACAAACCCTGAGCACAACAATTAATAAATGGGACCTCTCAAAACTGAGAAGCTTTTGCAGGGCAAAAGACACAGTCAATAAGACAAAAAGACAGCCAACTGAATGGGAAAAGATCTTCACCAACCCCACATCTGACAGAGCATTGATCTCCACAGTATATAAAGAACTCAAGAAACTAGACAGAAAAATACTGAACAGTCCAATTAAAAATGGGCTAAAGAGCTAAACAGAGAATTCACAAAACAAGAATCACAAATGGCTGAAAAACATTTAAAGAAATGCTCAACTTCCTTAATCATCAGAGAAATGTAAATCAAAACGACTCTGAGATACCACCTTACACCTTTCAGAATGGCTACAATCAAAAACACCAATGACAGTCAATGTTGGAGAGGATGTGGAGCAAAGGGAACACTCCTCCACTGTTGGTGGGAATGCAAGTTTGTACAACCACTGTGGAAATCAGTATGGTGGTTTCTCAGAAAATTAGGAATCAAATTACCTCAATACCCAGCTATTCCACTCTTGGGCATATACCCAAGGAATGCTGATTCATACCATAAAGATACATGCTCAGCTATGTTCCTAGCAGCACTATTTGTAATAGCCAGAACATGGAAACAACCTAGATGCCTGTCAACTGAAGAATGGATGAAAAAATATGGAAAATATACACAATGGAGTACTACTCAGTGGAGAAAGCAATGAAAGCATGAAATTTGCAGGCAAATGGATGGAACTGGAAAAAATCTTCCTGAGTGAGGTAACCCAAACCCAGAAAGACAGTCATGATATGTACTCACTCATCAGTGGATTCTAGATATAAAATAAAGAACAATCAGACTATAACACAAAGAACCATGGAGGCTGTATATATAGCATGGAGTTCCCTAGGACGACTGTGGCTTATAATACATTTCTGTTTTACTCAATTACTGAGCAAGCTTCAATGAAACATCTTACTACTAAGATAAGAATACATACTTTAGAGACCGGGCCCCATCTCCCATACTGCCCCCAACTTCACTTCTGGACCAGAGGTGAGTATCCAGGTCCAACCCGGACCAAATCCCTGGGCACCAGCCACTCCAGGATGACCTGCTCAACTTGGTACCAGGTTCTGGCCACTGGGCAGGTCCCCTTCTAGCCCCACCGGGAGGGATCCACTTTTCCAAGCCCCCTGGGAGCCCCTGCAATCCCCACCTCCTGCCCCCACGCCCATCTGCCCAAGACCCCAGCCACTTCCTGAGACTTAGAGACCGGCCCCCAGCTCCCATCCTGCACCCGACTTCCCTTCTGGACCAAAGGTGAGTATCCGGGCCCAACCCAGAACCCATCCCTGGGCACCAGCCACTCTGGGAAGACCTGCCCAACTTGGCCCCAGGTTCTGGCCACCGGACAGGTCCCCTTCTAGCCCCACCAGGAGGGATCCCATTTTCCAAGCCCCCCGGAAGCCCCTGCAATCTCCGCGCTCTGCATCAACGCCCATCTGCCCAAGACCCCACCCACCTCCTGAGACTTAGAGACCGGCCCCCACCTCCCATCCTGCTCCCAACTTCCCTTCTGGACCAGAGACTTCCGGTCCAGATAAGAGCTTCCATTCTGCCCCGGAGTTCCCATTTGGACAAGACAACTCCAATCTGGACAAGAGAGAGAGAGACTTCCTGAATCTGTCATCTCTTTCTGAACCAAGTACACTGATAAGACCAAGAAGGAACCACAAGGATATGGGCAGACGTCAAGGCAGAAGTACATACA